CTAATGTTTAAACATTTGAAAAGGGTAAGAATGAATTTAATGTAGAGAATCATTACACTGATACTGCAAACATTTTCATCTGAACAATAATTATTGTTTCTTTGTTGAAAACTCCTCAAAGAAGTCACATGCAAAATATCTGACTTTGTTATGCATTCTGAGTTACTGTATCAATTTCATATACTCTAGCCCTGACCATGTATAATGTCTCATTTCTGATTAAAACAACTTTACTTTTATAATATCCTCTATATGGGCCTTTGTACAACCAGAAATTATTGAGAATTTAAAGATTGTAATTTTATATTTTTTTTTCTCATTACTCACGTATTAAATGTGAATATTAGCAGAACATAACTCCAGATTCAAAGACAGGTGAACAGTTAGTATTTTGTCAAGTCACCATGGGCAGCAATGCAGGCTTCAATGCGGCGGGGCATACTACTGATCAAAGAAGTTAGAAAGTCGTGGTCCATGTCCCAATATCGGACCACCTCTTCTTTCATTTCAGCAATATTTGTCAGTTTTTTCTTATTGACACTTTCCTTCTTAAGTCCCCAAACATTTTCTATTGGATTTAGGTCAGGGCTATAGCTTGGCCAATCTAATAATGTCATATTTTGGGTCCGAAACCAGGCCTGTGAATGCTTTGAACAATGTTTTGGGTCGTTGTCCTGCTGGAAAATCCCAAAATTTTCATAGAACACGTGAGCAGATGAAGTAAATGTCCCTCGAGAATATCTGTGTACCGCTCAATGTTCATATTCCCTTCAAATACACAGAGGGGTGTTGCCCCTAACACAGATATGCCACCCCACACGTTAAATTTCGGACTGTACTTTGGGCGCTGATACAAAGGTTTTTCAGCTTGTTTGGTCCAGAATTTCAGTGTATTAGGAAACAGCCACACAGAACTTTCATCTGAGAAAATCACATTATCCCAGTTAAAATTTCTATGCTGTAAGCACCAGTTCAATCTTCGCTCCTTTTGTTCAGGTTTCATGATCGGTGATGGAATTCCTCGACTTTTCTGCCAACCCATTGCATGCAGCTCAGTTCTAATTGTCTCCTTACAGACAGCCGCAGTTCCTCTATCAATCATATCCAGCCTTAAGTTTTCTAGACTCCTTCGTTTGTTTTTAGAAACAAGAATACCAAGCCACCTCCTGTCACTGACAGTCAATTTTCTGGGCCTACCTGCGCCTCTCTGGTGCTCAATGCCATATCCATTTGCAATATTTGTCAAAACACGATAAACAGCTGATCTGATGTCCTTGTTATAATACTCTAAAATCAACTTCCTATTCTCTAAATCATCCATACTGAGGATCACTGAAAATGTCGTCTGCTAGCAAGTAAACAAAGGGGGATAACTCTTCACAAACTAATGAAATAGGATTAACGGAGTTGTCTCTCTTGAATGAAACCAAGCACTTGATAGCTGGTCAAGGTTGTTTATACTAGAAATCCAATTAAACATATTCCTAAATTTCTCAATAATTTCTGGTCATACTATACCTGATTGGCCCTGCATGTGTATATAATGCATCTGTCTGTGTATGATATATCTGTATATACATATTAGGGGCCTTGGTTACCATACAACTGGACTACATCCATGTAAAACATCCACTCATGTATGTGTCTGATGGAAGTACTAGGAAGTGTATGAAATGCAAACATCAACACACATACCTGGAGACAGACACAGAGCTGAAGTTGAAATGTAACAAGTGCAAATGATTACTTCTTTTTTTTTAGCTAACCTCACCAAGCTTCTTGATTACATTAAAATAAAGTTCTAGACTCGGTTCCACAAAACAACCTTAAGCTCTTAAATATTTGTAAGTCTATGTCTATTGGACATACATATCACTTTTGACAGCCGTAGCCCAAAGATCACTTGCTGATTGGAAACGGACAGTAATTGAGCAAAGTAGAATTCTCTTCATTTCTCCTGCAAAGGCAGCCCCGTCCCGTGAAGTGCCTAAAGCTGTGTGGATGTTGCATTGAGAAATTATTGTTAATCATTCAAAATGTCTGTCCACCAACTAGCATCTGTATCATTGTTTGTGTTTGTCATCTTCTACTTGTGCAAAATGGTTTTCACACTCCAGAATTAAAATCCCTTTTCATATGCACTCAGTTCCAGCTTCCATATATAAAACTATGTTCATTAAACAAATTTCCAATATCAATATTTGATTTTAAGGACTTCAACCTTGTGTTTTGTATTGTTTATAGTCAGAGTGTGAGCGAGTTGGGTTTAATACTGCTTTGATCAATATTTAAGTTTGGTCACTGTGTTTCCTGCTAATCTGAGGATCCTGACATGTGTAAGGGAGGCAACTCTGCAGTGACTTACATGGCTGGGACACCTGTGAGTGAGTGAGTTGGCTTTATAGCTGCATTTAATACTATTCTAGTTCAACTAAAGCTGAAAGTGATGGACGCTTTACACTTTGGTGAAACCCATCAGCGTGGTCAAGGTCAACTGGGATTTGAACCTACTCATCAGTAGACTGTACAGCAATGCACCTTAGTCACTGGGCTACTTGTGTCCCCCTTAGAAACACAGGGATCTGTATGTTCAAATGTACGATCCCCCTCAATTTCAAACAATGGGATCTCCATATATAAATACACAATCCCCTTCAATATCAAACACAGGGATCTCCATGTTCCATGTACAAGATCTCCCTCAATATCCAACACGGCTCCTCCGACAACCGATCCCTCCACCAGTCGCATCAACGCCACCAACATCCCTCTCCAACCATACAATGACAATGTCAAAGATACAAAACAAGCATGCTTAAGACAATAATTCCACATGTCATGCACAAAGAAAGAACTATGATTTGAAACAAGAAATGGCAAATTGTTTTTAGTATTTTGCAAAGACGATATTAGTCAAGCCAGCATACACCCGGTTGTAGATTTGACATTGTTGGACAAGTCTAGGTTAATCGTTGCTAAGACAGTTGGTACAGAAACATAAAGTCACTTTTCTGTTAATACTGTGATAGAGAGAGTGAGAGTAGAATTGTAAGAAAATTAGAAAATTACAGTTATAGAAAAGTGACTTTACCTATTACAAAAATAAACAACAAAATTGTTCATCAACACATATTTATTAACAAACAATAGAAGTACAAAAAGTTGTGAGAAACGTACATAAATTATAGATGTTGATGAACCAATAGGTCTAGTACACACTAAGGTTATATGCTGGCTTGATTTAATTAACAAAATGAAAAAACGGATATATCGGCTTACTGGCTGAGGCATTGCCATAGATACACATTTAGAATTTCATTCATTTCAAACATATGATTTAAGCATTATACTAGGGGATAATATTAATTGGGAGTAAACATTCATGTCATCTTTGGCAAGAATCAACTATGACTTAATAATATCAAATTGAAATATTTCATGAAAAACAATTCACAACCAATATGCCTTACCCATTGAAAATATGTGTCTCAAACTGCAGTCAAAATGTTTGAATATCTTTTGAAAAATTACTTATTTGTCAAGCCATACACAGTAGCAAAAGCAACTCTGAGGGTTCTTACATTTTAAATACAAAATTTAAACATAAAATCTACTTAAATTAAAAATCTCCCTTCCCGTTAGATGCGACTCAGATTTCAGAAAGGACATCAAGAACTGACAAACATTTGAGACACAACATTTTGAACACCGAGAAAAAAATAACAAAACAGACATGCAATTTATTATGGAATGTACAAAATACAATATGGCTGCCTAATGGTGGAAAATATAGGTGTGGTATAACAACTATATCACATAGCTTTGTAACACCATCAACAAATATTTTGATATGTCTTCAACGTGATAAAGTTGACATTCTGTAATGAATAACATGTTACTTACAAGCCTATGATTTTGATTTAAGCATAGATAAACAGCAAAAGGGAATGCTACGAAGGATGGATAAAAATTCTATTTTTCTGTTTATTTTAGAGTTAAACAACATCACAATATGTTTCTGTGAATTATATCAATACCACAAAAGAGGTAGACAGGAAACAAACAAATAAACATGTAGTTCTAGACAATCTACTGCTAAGCTACTCTTCTCATGGTGAACATGTCACATTGGAAAAATCAGAGCAATGATAAAAAAATACTTAATATATTGAAAAAATTGAGCAATGTAGAATGCCAAAAAATTCATATATCTTTTTTTATAATTGATATTAAGAAAAACAATAGAAGAATATATTTGAATAAAAATACAAGTCTGATGATATTTAGAAGCATTTTATATCTTAATTAGACATACACATAGGAAGAAATTTCACAAAAGGCGAAAGTGAAATTCAGATTATGGAGGCAATATATGGAGAATGCCGTCGTTAGAGATAAATAAATCAGACTGTGTTCACCTGGCAGTGTTGCAAAATGCCAACAATTACAAAACGGCAAACATTACTGAACATCTTTACAATCAACAACCTATATCTTCCATACTGACACAGTAAGCACCATGTTTCCATTGCAAATAAAAAGGCCTACCCCTTTGTAAATGTTCCATACACAGATTAAATACCAGTAGTATCCAAAGCAAACATCAAATGAAAAGATAACCCCCCACCCCCTCAAATAAACTCTACTTATATTGATTCTACATTAATTGTACTAATACTTATGCTTTTTGTACTAAACTCCACATCATGCATTTGATACAAAGTGTCCTAATACTCTTTTCTTGAAAATACCTAAATTCAGTTGTTATTTCCAGTACTTATTATGTATATAATTATCTCCATTGATAACATACTTAATATAAATTTATTTCTATCCAAGACTAAGTGTTTTTTTAACATTTTTCGCAATTTTCCAGTAATATATCATCAGTGACAACAGAAATGGGATTTACAAGTGGGAATCAAACCCTGGCCTTCAGCATGACAAGCCAACGCCTTAACCACTAGGCTACCCATCACCTCTTTGTTCATCCTTCAGAGACAGAACTCAAAAGTTAAGGCACTCACCTACCTGTTCAAGTATATATCAACAGAACCTTAACTGACCAAATTGTATCAATGTTTGCTTAGTCATAATTCCTCCAGTGAGTGCGGACATTCAATAATTTATCTGCATCATTTATAATAGGTCCAATGTTTTCAACCATAAAAACTGTCGAAGACTATCATCATTAGAAGGTCAGGAGATCAGCTAACCAATGCCTTGAACTGATTCATATTTCAAAATGATAAATTACTCAGAGGTGGAAACAGACTTGGTCTGCAATATCTCAGTCAAATGCTGAAAGCTCCATTTAAAAAGATATGGAATTAGCATGATCCCTTGCAGGGCTACCTTTAGAGATTGGGAAAGTGCCATTTTAAATGTGACATGATACAATTTACCTTTGATCTTATACTGCTACTCTGTACAGTAATAAACCTAGATTAATCACTGCTCTGGCTTGTCTTCTACAATGGAGGGTTCCAACTGAACAATCAGCTTAAATCCCTCTCGGGACACAGGGCAACTGACACAAACACTATGTCACAATGACCCAACTAGGTCGCTACGACATTCACGTTGCTTGACAACCATGAGTGGACATTGCATGCACCGTCGATGGACAAATGAAAACTATTCTGAACCTGTGAGGGATGGAGGGTCGTGGGTGTCTGGGAGATGGGAGAGTTTGGCCACCGTCAGGCGCACCACCTCCATCGTTGACTTCAGAGCTGCGACGGCCTCCTCATGTGTCACATCTTCCAAGTTGTCATCGTTCACCTGACAACACAGAGACAAAGGAGGGCTGAAGTTCCAGTAGGTATAGCAATAGCGGTAGAATGCCATCATTAGGAAAATTATATTAGATCATAACTCATTTCATTTGTTTGTTTTAGTTAAATACATGCTCAGCAATATTCCAGCTGTATGGCGGTTTGCTGATTTCTGGACCAGACAATGCAGTGATTGACATCATCAGCATCGTTCAACACAACTGGGGTACGATGACAGGCATCAACCATGAACGTCATCTGACGACCTGATCCATTTGGATGCCTATTTTGACCAGCACAGGCTGCACTCATGCACCAATGAATGCCCTCAAGTGGTCATACAGAAGACTAACATGTGACAAGAAATAGCTTCCCAGAGGCCAATTCTAAGCCTTAGGGAAACAATGAGGAAATCCTTAACCCATTCAACACTGTAGGCCAAGACATCACGAGTCCCCAGACACCGTAGGCCGGTAAACCGTCCAGGCAGTAGTCGCATCAAAATTATATATAATTTTAGGAACCTAACTAACATATGATTCTTTTATCAAATCTATCACTTTTCACAATGTCTGAAAACACTTGTTCAATTTCAAATGACCATATATTATCGACAGTATTAGAATTATAAACTGAAAAGAAAACAGAAAAAACCCACAATTCTCGGACACATGCTTTGGCAGCAGGTCCACAATAACATTGTCAAAGAGCAAAGTAACGATGTTTCGAGGAAATCATTAAATAAATTGAATAAACTAATGAATAAAATCAACAACAGCATTCATAAAAGATGTCAAACGTACATATAAAATTACTATTTCCATCTTTTTGTGCGATCATGTAATGTAAGTTAAGTCACTGACAAGTGACATCTAGGCTCTTGCCGCCTCAATCTTCACGCTCGGACACGATGTTTAATGTGAAAATATATGAATGAAGAATTTTTGTCACAGGTCATAACCTAGCACGATACGTCCAATAAGTTCCATAATTTACGTATAGGTAGCGATTTCTTGCTTAATATGTTCAAAATAGCATTATTTTACCCAAATTTTTCGTCTAAATCTACAAGTTTTCGTTTACGAGGACAGTATCCATTGCCGTAAAATGATTGGCTGCCTTAGGTCACGTGTCTGATTTTGACCAATCACGACCCTTATAGCAGACTGTGGCGAAAAAGCATCATTAGAAACCAATCTTTATCCAATAAATCGCTTCTTACAACTGTGAAAATACACTCGGCAAGGGTACAGTGATATTGTTGATGTTCAGAGCTTTCGAACGATACCCGACATCAAACGATTCGCCTCCCATGTTATTCATACGAAGCTTCGAAAACAGAGATATTTTCCGTTTGTTGTGTCATTTACCGAGTGGAAAGCCACTGATATCGGGAAATAGGCAACCATATATATTATTTAAGAAATCTTTTTATAATAATTTTCTGATTACGTAAAAATGAAAATTTAAACGAAAAAGGCACGGGCATGTTATGACATGTCACAAATGGAAAAAAATCGCCATAGTTTTGGCTTCTTTCGTGGTTTATCTGGACATTATAAATGAAAGCTTGCATTTTCATTACAAAAAGAAATCTATTTAAGTTGTAGTTGTATTATTTGAATAACATTATAAAAATAAACTTCATATTTATCAACAGTGGGATTAGATCTTTTAAATGGTATATGAGATGTAGTAGCAATAACGTTTTACAAGCTTATAATTTCCTTCATAAAGACCTTAGAGTCTCTGGGAAATCGGTGTCATGGCAGTAAATGCCTCTGGTTGACTTTGTGTTGAAAGAGTTAATGATGGGTAAAAACTTTTAGAATTTGGATATATCACTACACTCCAATGTTTGGTAAAACAACATGATGGCCACAAATGAAGGATGAAAATCTTGACAAATCTGATCCTGCAACAACCAAGGGAAGCAGTTCATCTACTTACAGCCATAAGTCTGTCGCCAGTTTCCAGTCTTCCATCCTGTTCTGCAGCGCCACCCTCAATGATCTTTGTCACGAAGATGCCATTGTCTCCCGGAATGTGTTGGTTGCCTTGGCCACCAGCGATGCTGAAACCCAGACCTGAAACACACAGCATACAGTTAGATGTGTAGGGTACTGAACTGACAGTCCCCCAGTCTGAGGAAATCATGAAGGGCCAGTGACGTTTATATGTGGACTACAACTTGTACCATTAGGAATTTTTAAAACTAGCCCCCAATGTTCTGTATTATATGTTGCACCAAGTGCCTAGATTGGTTGGTTGGTTGTGGTGAACGCCATACTCAGCACTATTCCAGCTATATGGCGGCAGTCTGGACCAGACAATCTAGTGATCAACAGCATGAGCATTGATCTACGCAATTGGGATACAATGACATGTGTCAACCAAGTCAGCGAGCCTGACCACCCGATCCTGTTAGTCGCCTCTTACGACCAGCATAGGTTACTGAAGACCAATTCTAGCCCGGATATTCACAGGTCCAAAGACAAAAGCTCACTTGACTTTCTGTCAGGTGAGTCAACAACTCAAGTGACAGTGACCTTGACCAAAGGCCATTGAAGTTTGGATTTTGGTGTCTAAATGATTCCTTAGAACAGGTGGTACAATTCTTAGGAAATAACACCAGGCTCTGCAGCTCACCTAATAACAAATCAAATATATTGATCTCAAGTTTTTATGACCAAACACAACAACATCATGATTGTTGAACATACAGCACACTATGTTTATAATGAACACTCTGACGGACAAACTGACGGACATCATGAACTGTGGTCCTGTCCACAAACTGTATATTGTAGTCAAAATGCATGAAACAAATTACAGCAATAATCAGTGAGCGAGTTCAGTTTGACACCGCCTTTAGCAATATTCCAGCAATATCATGGCCGGGGACACCAGAAATGGGCTTCACACATTGTACCATGTGGGGAGTCAAACATGGGTCTTGGGCATGATGATCAAATGCTTAAACCACAAGGCTACCCCACCGCCCCACAGTTACAACGAACTAAATGTACTGGTCCCATTGGGTTCATTATAACCTTACTGTATAAACAACACCTTGCAAATAATTGTGCTGAGGTCCAGATTGCTAGAAATAAAACAACTGTGCAATAGAAATTATTCTGCAAGTGATAATTAAACCTCTTCTGCTGTATTTACAGTTGGTTCTACTTTCAACAATCTCCTTCAGTCAATTATCAGATGATGTGGCATAAACCACCTCAGGCATTAAAACAAACAGCACAAATCAATGAAAATATTGACAATACTCAAATGCACGGTCATTTCTACACTACAAAGGGGAGTGAGGATTTATTTCTCAAGAAACAACTACACTGTATCAGTTCTAATGGCAACCAAATCCGCCATTAACTTCTATCGGCAGGACATAACTATCCTCACCATGAGCAGTGTTGGAAGGGTTCTCAGGGTTCTAAGATTTGCAGCCATAGTGTTGAAAGCCATCTTAAGTCTTCTACTTTTAACATCTGGTGTCCCCCGCTGTGATATAGCTGGAATATTGCTAACAGCGGCGTAAAACTAAACTCACTCACTCTATTTTTAACGTAACATTAAGTAGGAGAATCTTTTGACATCCATGGATAATTTCATGATCAGCACAATTGAGCTGAAGTTATATGCAAGGCCCATTATATTTAATGGGGTGGCCTAGTGGTTAAAGTGTTGGCTTGTTGCACCTAAGATCATGGTTTGATTCCAAGCAATGTGCAATATACTGCTTTTCATAATGCAAGGCTTTCAAGGGGACATGGTGGGCGAGCTGTCTAAGGCGCCAGGCTAGCGATCCAGCGAGCTTGAGGTGTCGGGATCGAGCCCACCTGTGACCGGGTGTAAAAACCTTAGAATCAACTTTGTGTGCAGACTCTCTCAGTGTTGTCACAACCCCTAGTGTACAGTACACAACCCTGTGCACTTAAAAGAACCCACGAATCGGTTGGTGAACGACCAGATGGTGGCCACATGAATACGTGCAAACACCTAGTTGCGGGTACAGCAACGTGCAGTAAACTTGGACAAAGTACTGTGACTATGTGTTCCAGTCCACCCAGCTGTGAATGGGTACCTCGTAAGGATGAGAAAGCCGCAATAATTTGGTTCGCCTAGTGGCTGCAAGAATTGTATGATCCCTGGGGAGTTGAGATTGATAATACAATGTGCCTTTGAGATTGACATCCAATGATTGAAGGAAAAAAAAAAATACCAGCGCCTTGAACATGCACTAGTTACATGGATATCTGCGCTATAATATTAATACCTATAATTCTGGGGTTAAGACAGATGCCTACAACTATCTGGTTATGAGTGGTACCATGGATATTGTCTGTAGTTGTTCCACACTCCACTGCCACCAATGTCTTGAGCCAGACTGGCACTGATGTCTGAAGGTGGAACTAATATTCTGTCGGAAATCACTTTTACTGGAACAATTTTTGAAGAAAAAAAACCCCACCATTTTTTTGTTTCCTTTTTCATGTCATATATTTTCGAAAAAAAAAGATCTGTAGCCTGATCATGATTGCCCAGAGAGTTGACACCATGAAAAAAAATAAAACAATTTCTGGATTTGTCCGAAGAAAGCAACAAGTAAGTGATAGTGGGATCTGACACAAGTTAGTATAAGATATTTTTCATATATATATATCCTAGAAATCATCACTGCATATCCATATTCCCCTTACATGACTATCTTATAAATTGGAACTGAAAAAAACCTACCAGAACCAAAAACTTATGACAAAATTTATTTTTCTCAACATGAGAGGTTGTATTGTTGTACAAACACATGATACCCAACCAGTGTGTGTTTGTTGTTTAACGTGGCTCTCAACAGTGTGGCAGTAGTCTGTAAATAACTGAGTCTGAACCAAACAATCCAGTGTTTGACATCATGAGTGAGTGAGTGAGTTTAGTTTCACGCCACACTCGGCAATATTCCAGCCATATGGCAGTGGTCTGTAAATAATCGAGTCTGGACCAGGCAATCCAGTGATCAACAGCAAGAACATCGATCTACGCAATTGCGAACTGATGACATGTGTCAACCAAATCAGCGAACCTGACCACTCGATCCCGTAAGTAAGCCTCTTACGACAAGAATGGGTTACTGAAGGTCAATTCTAACCTGGACCTTCACAGGTCTGACCTCATGAGAATCAGCCGAGCCTACACACGATCCTATTAGTTGCCTCAAGCATGAGTTGCTGAAAAACGGTTCTACCCTAAATCTCCATAGGTAAATGACAATCAAACAAATTATCATTGTTTCTACGCCCATTAATATGTGTTGTAAAGCAATATATTGGACAATTTGATTAAAAGTGTTGACACAAAACAGGAAACAAGTTAAGACTAAGTTACCTGCTGACCCAAATCACGACAAACAGCCTTGTTTCTCTAAACATGAAACCAATTGTCTTTAAGTATATTTTAAAGGCAGCAATACGAGGTTTCAATGTTTCCCCCCAAATTATTAAGTTACTCAGGTAACAAAGTAAAAATGATGAACAAATATTATTTTCTTGTTTAAACGTCTGCTGTGCTTATGTTCTTAGCTCCAGCTGGAAGTATACATAAGCAATGTTTTTGAAGGCTTCTACTGTCTGATCTCCTCTGTATATGCATCACCAACACGGGTATAACGGTGTGAAAAAAACCAAAAAATGTATTCATTTAATCAAGTTCGTTTACAAAAAACAGCTTCTATATAACACTCCCAAAACGTTACGAAGGACCTAATTCTTTCATATCTCTACGGTTACTCAGTCTTGCCTTGAGTAATAAGAAGAATGAGGTGGTCTTAAATACTTGGGGGGAGGGTGCATGTTCACATTAGGAGGCCTCAAGTGCAGGCAGAAACATGTTAAAAGCACCGATGGAAACGATGTCGATCAAGTACATGTAACAGTGCTGCCCCTGCTGCAGTCGGAGGTGACACCGTCTTCACTTCCCCACCTCTTGTGGGATTCATGATCAATATTGTCACATGCAACGTGTAATTTCATCGCCTCTTCTACAACTTACACCAATTACACTAAGTCCGCTCCACAAAAGTGCTAATGAAAAAGGTTATTAAGTTAAATATTTCAAGAAGAGGCTTGAGTCAACAGATCTTCTCACGACACTTTGCAGCACTTAGAGTCTTCAGACGGGCCATTCTTGCGAAATAATGTACGCAAATCTGTTCAAGATGGTAGAAGGAATTTCCACGTGGAGCATATGTGCGTCTAGACAAAATACCCATAATTCAAACTCTTCGGATGTTTTCACATCATAACAAGTTGATCAGACAAGCAGAGATAGTCATCTTTTGAAATATATTTGTCAATTCTTCGACCCTCATGGAGATCTATGGTTAATCAGTATTGATTCACGAATTGATTTTATGGCGGTGAAGCCAAAGTGGACGGTGGTTGTAGAAAACTCTGACTTAAAGCCACAGTTGCGTCAGGATCGTTCAAAGAAAGTAACGAGGATTTCAACAACTTTCCGCAAAATCTACGCCAACAGGGGTGAGGGGAGTCGCTAGCTCGACACATCAATTATACCTAACTGGATTAAAACCTTCCTGAATGTGTAGCACTATGACTGTCTCAGACATCTAAACATCGTAATGGTCGCACACTTCATGAGCAGAATGCCCACCGAGATCGGTGCCTTAAAGGTTCAGAGCGTTTCCTAAGCGTCCCCTTGACAGAAAAGCATTAGGGGCCGAGAGACTTGCATTTGACAAATACTCTTGAAGATGGTGCTGCAGGATATTCGTAGGATATTTCAAAATTCTCAAAAATACATCTCCTGTATTGAGTATGGATCAAAATATTTGTCAAAGAGGAGTTAGGAAAATGAACCCATCAAAGCTACCAAGGCGTAAGTTCCTACTTTCTAAATGTGGACTGGGGACATGAGTTAACTTTAATGGTTCTCATGTGCTGGATGACCTTGAGACGTATTGATCACGCTTCGACATCACTCTCAAAATATAAATCATTTGTTATGCCGTCAGGAAGGTCTCTCTTCACCTATCATTTCGATCCTGTGATTTCCGTTCTTTTAACTATGTTTTTATTGCCCTTGGAGCCAATATTACCAGGATATTTAGCTGACCAGCTCGTAATGACTTATCTCTGTCTCTCCAGTTGCCACAAAACACGAAACGACAACAGCTTCGAGGACACATTTCTTTCTTTGAATCAAAACAAATTTTGAACTTTGGGGAAACATTATTTTCTTAGAATTAAAGGAAAATTCCAGCTTTGGTTGCATAATTTTTTCTGGATATAAAAAATAGTTCCAGCTCAACAGGTTGTGACTAAATATCTTAACATGCATCTGACCCCAAAAAGTGAGTGAGTTTAGGTTTACGCCGCTTTTAGCAATATTCCAGCAATTTCACGGCAGGGGACACCAGAAAAGGGCTTCACACACTGTATTCTTGTGGGGAATCGAACCCATGCTTCTTATTTCGTATTATGTGAGCTAAAGATGGCTTCATCTTGCACTGAGTGTTTCCTGGGAAAATTCTTGTATGAAACAAATTTTGATCATATTCATTTCTTAACAACATTTTAACATTTGTAGTTTAAAGTTGAACTATAATGTACAATACCTAATCTGGACCAAACAATCATGAGACTGAAACTGTGACCAACAATCAACGACGACAAGAGATCAACCCAGCCACCTAGCCTCCTAGACAAGCAAACACCTGTGTTAGTGCCTGGATTCTGTTTGTGAGACTAGAACACCATAGCAGTGCCAGGATTCTCTAGCTATGACCAGCACCAGAAGCAGAATTCCCTCACCGATGGTGTTGAAGCCATCCTAATTAGCTAGTAACAAAGAGCTCCATCTCGGGACTTATTCCCACACTCGGTATAACACAACAGCACTTTCAGCCAGTTAGGGGAAAAAAAAGAACCTGCTTTTTTCACAGATACACAGCGAAAGTGGCAGCGCAAACTCTCTGAGCAATTAAACCCCCCAGAAAATCTATCCATCAAACACCACGAATAGAATCACTTTGCGTCTAAAACATCTCTGACTTCTACATAAAAGCAACATCAATCCCATGCACATGTATACAATTTCTCAACGATTGATTTCTCTAATCGCTCTGGAGCAATTCACACGCAAGAATCACCTATCAATGGCCAGAGTCCTCACATACAGATTACAAAACTTCTGACAGTGGATTTCACCACATCAAGATGGAATCTAGATGTCCTGCAGAGTCGGCTTATTAATCATCATTACCAAGATGAAAGACACACTATCGACAATTATGAACAAGTTCTACTTTGGACGAAATCAAATTTTTTTCTTAATTATCAATCAGAAATGTTTCCTGTTTGATCAATTCATGACTATCAGGAGGAAGCATATCGTGGATGTCATTATCCTCGTGTTCTCTGCCAGCCACATTTATGTGTTTATCATTCACAAGCTGTTTCCTCTCTTTGGGATAATATACGACAAGAGATGGTATTTTTCACCAAAGTGGGGAAATAATTTCTCAAGGACGTAATCTCCATCTTTCACATCGCCTATCACTGTCAACACCATTTTCACAGCGAAACAAATGTCTCAATCACTTGTTGGGTACTAAACTGCACACAATTTTGTTCTTGTTTGATTCGAAACAAAGCAATATTCCTTCTGAATGAGGGTTGTCATACATAATTTAGTCTGGCCAAAACAACTGACCTAGACATTGATTGGGAAACAATACATGCATCTACAAAGTCAGCAAGCCGGACCAGTTAGTTGCCTCTTGGGACAAGCATGTTGTTGCGTAGACTGATTCTAACCCCCATCTTAACTGTACGTGAATGATAGCAGTGTCAAATACTGAAACATGTTTAATCAATACTAACAATTTCATTGTTTACATGGTAAGGATGTCATCTGTGGATGACTCCATGCCCTGATACATGCAGCTGACTGGTCAGTACCAGACGTCAAGCTACAGTTGACTTCTCTGTAGAATGGTAGGTCAGTTGACTGTTTTCTCAATTTTCTGAATGGTTCACCAGGTCAAGCTACAGTTGACTTCTAAGGCCCTTCAACTGTGTTTTCTCAATTTTCTGGAATAGACTAGTCAGTACCAGACGTCAAGCTACTGCTTCACAGGTCAGTTGACTGTCTCTGTAGAATGGTCAGTAGCTCAGACACACTAAGGCCCCAACTGTTTTCTCAATTTTCTGGAATAGACTAGTCAGTACCAGACGTCAAGCTACAGTTGACTTCTCTGTGGAATGGTTCACAGGTCAGACACACTAAGGCCCCAACTGTTTTCTCAATTTTCTGGAATAGACTACCCAGGAATAGTTGACTGGTCAGTAGGCCCCAACAGGAATAGACGAGTCAGTACCAGACGTCAAGCTACAGTTGACTTCTCTGTAGAATGGTTCACAGGTCAGACACACTAAGGCCCCAACTGTTTTCTCAATTTTCTGGAATAGACTAGTCAGTACCAGACGTCAAGCTACAGTTGACTTCTCTGTAGAATGGTTCACAGGTCAGACACACTAAGGCCCCAACTGTTTTCTCAATTTTCTGGAATAGACTAGTCAGTACCAGACGTCAAGCTACAGTTGACTTCTGGAATAGACTAGTCAGTACCAGTACCAGTCAAGCTACAGTTGACCCCTCTGTGGAATGGTTTACAGGTCAATTTTCTGGAATAGACTGAGTAGCAGGCGATGACAGTTGACTTCTCTGTGGAATGGTTCACAGGTCAGACACACTAAGGCCCCAGTTTAGTCAGTACCAGGCGTCAAGCTACAGTTGACTTCTCTGTAGTATGGTTCTACAGGTCAGACACACTAAGGCCCCAACTGTTTTCTCATAGACTTCAGTACCAGGCGCTCAGCCATATGGCGGTGGTCTGTAATAGACTGGTCAGTACCAGACGAAGCTCTGGGACAGGTCAGACAATAAGGCAACTGTTTTCTCAATTTTCTGGAATAAACTAGTCAGTACAGATGTCAAGCTACAATTGACCCTCTCTGTGGAAAGGTCACCGACTCAGCAATATTTTAGCCATATGGCGGTGGTCTGTAAATTATCGAATCTGGACCAGACAATCCAGTGATCAACAGCATGAACATCAGGAACCGATGACATGTGTCAACCAAGTCAGCGAGCCTGACCACCCTATCCCGTAAGTTGCCTCTTACGACAAGAAAAGTCGCCTCTTGTGGCAAGCATGGGTTGCTGAAGACCTATTCTACCCCGGATCTTAACGTGACTTTACAGGTCAGACCCACTAAGGCTAGAACTATTCATTTCTGTAGTTGACTGGTCAGTACGAGACGTCAAGCTACAGGTGACTAAATGCCTGTTCTGACTGCCATGGATTTGTTATGTCACAAAGATTTATTAAAACAACAACCATTTCCCCGAGTCTTCTTCTAATGACACACATGAATCAGATTACATATCTTGGTGGAAACCCAACTCAATTACGAATTGTGCCGATGTATGCCATTATGCTGGTAATTCACAAATGACCAGAAGCCAGTATTACGATCTTCCATCAGCATGTTTACAAGTACATCTAAGTTTAGCTACATGCTGACAACCTTATTATTGGTATTCACAACATTATCATTCTGTCATAAACACATCTTAATGTTTTTAGTTAGTTAGTTGTAAAAGGAAAATGCAAATTGGTAAACTGACTGAGTTTGGTTTTATGCCGCCTTTAGCAATATTCCAGCAACATCACAACAGGTCACACCAGACATGGGCTTCACACATTGTAACCATGTGGGCATTCGAATCCAGGTGTTTGGCGTGACGAGCCAATGCTTTAACCACTAGGCTACCCCACCGCCCCGCGGATTGGTAAACATGGCAAACACCTTCATATAGGAGATGATGCCGGATTTGAAAGTAGGCCATCATATGTCACACAAAGTCACTTTCTATGCTTGAAGAAAACTACAAATATACTGCAAAGTAAACTTTAAACCATGTTCGATAGCTGTGTTAGAATTTGGCAAATAGCAAACGTTGCAATCACTTAAATACCTGTACAAAGTTTGACAGTTGTAAACTGTTTCTGTCATACAATGGCATGTAATTTCACTGGGTCAATATAAAATAAATAATTTACATCTTCAGTCAGATAACGATCATAACCGAAATGTGTTTGTGTTATATATTTTTCAATCCCAAGTGCCAAAGAATCATAATAATAAGATCATACTTTCACATACATTAAATGCCATCTTAGGGACCATCAAAGTACAAGAGCCTAAAGCCATTCTGTGACATGACAACCACGTGTTTCGTCTGTTACTGAGCACACTTAGCAAGTGTGATGAGCAAGATGAGTGAGTGAGTGAGTTTAGTTTTACGGCGCACTCAGCAATATTCCAGCTATATGGCGCCAGTGTGAACAAGATAAGTTGTAAATTTACGTGTATCTTTTTCGGCAAAGTTTTGCAAACTGAACTTGTGGAATTACAGACTATACTGATACAGCCATGTTAATACTTACCTATGTTTCAATCAAATAACATGCAAAGGAGAAAAGAAATGGCCGATCTTACATTTGTTTCAGTCATTAAAACAATCAATTAAGAAATTCATAATAGAGTGGTTAGTCGTTAGAGACTAGTAGCATGCCAACAGTACCTTTGTTTCCCTTGACTAGCTCGATATGCACAACGTTTTCAATGGACGCCTTCAGCCTCTTCACAAGCTGTACAAAAAAACAAACAAACATGGAGGTGAGTCAGATGGGTGAATGCTGCTCTGTACAGTGTACCACTTACATCACAGACTGGCAGCTTATTGTGTGCGGAAAGCCCGATGTGATGCAGGTCCCAGGCGTTCACCACCAATGAGATTTACACCAATGATGTACATGTTCCATTTGAGGATGTAATTTTGAACACACATAAATGACAACAGTGAAACAAGCTCTTATGACTGACTCCTTTTGACTCAAACAAAATGAACGACCCTCAAGTATCTACGGCATATTTGCTGAAAATTAGTTTCGCACTTTTTTTGGTTTGAAGTTAGATATGGTCCTCAAATCATAATTATTTTTGCATGTGGGGCTGGAACTTGGCCTCATAGCCTCAAAACAGCCTATCAACCCAGTGATCAACATCATGAGCATCGATCTACACATTTGGGATATGATGACATGTGTCAGCCAAGTCAGCGAGCCTGAGCGCCCGATCCCGTTAGTCGCCTCTTACGACAAGCATGGGTTACTGAAGATCAATTCTAACCCAGATCTGCACGGGTTGGAGCATGATGCACATCCTGAACAAAGTGACCAAGATGGTGGCATGCCTAACGTAGTACTGGTTACGTTGTTTCAGCATCTGAGGCACTTGTGTTCCCAACAAAAATGAAATAGAATCTTTTTCCAATAATACTTCACTATAATCTGCAACACGAAACAGTTCGGTACATCTGTCAAGCCATGACCATCAGACTTTAATGCTTTATACATGTTGTACTCAAATTATATTATCATTTCCAATCTTGCTAATATGTACTTAATCAACTAGAAATTAATTGATATCAGCTTTCATGATCTATCAATAGTCGAGGAACTGGAACCACGCCACCAATGATGAAGGCGATCAATGGGAGAAGATTGGAAACCATACACGTTCTTTTAAATGCCGGGTGGTTTCCGGTTGGCTACAGAAAGCCAAATATATGTGCAAAGCCTATAGAACTCAATATTTCCTGCGTGCAAGAGACGAAATATGTGCAAAGCTTCCAGAACTTGAAACTTCCTGCGTGCAAGTTAGTGAAACCTTATTAGGCTTGAAACATCACTATGTACCTATGATTTAATAACACAGAAATACGTTAGTCCAGATGATTTCATTCAGACAGCTATTTACAAAATGGCTGTTGCAGATTCAAAAGTAAGTTCACTTGGCAGATAAATTGGTTCCTATTTTCCTAAAAATTAAGTTCCTAGTTTCTAAAATTCAAAGGTTATTCTTTCGTTTTTGTTGGTTTGTTGCTTAATGCTGCTTTAAGCCATATTCCAGCCATATGGCGGCGATCTGTAAGTATCGAGTGTGGATCTGACAGTCAAGTGACCAACATAGCAAGCATCGATGTACGCAGTTGGGGTTTGATGATAAACGTAAACTAAGTCAGGAAGTCTGACCACCTGATAGAGGTCATTTTAAAAATTTACTCAAAGCAGTAATGCACAATTAAGCAATGGAAGGTCTTCCTCTTTTTCAGTTAAGTGAAATATACTAAGGCAAAAAAGTAAGGGATCACATGCAAGCACAAGTATTCCCATATTTCTTTTCCAGGGTTCTTCACAAGCTATGCGATATAAAAAATAAAGGAACACTTGTCCTTTCATGTGATCCCTTACTTTTTCCCTCAGTATATTAGTTTCCTCAACCAAACCAGAACAAAAGTTTTATCTTAATGGAATGATTGTTAAACTACCAATCTGTGACTTTGCTCCAGACATTTGCATCAGACTTTGGATCAAATCACAGTCTCTGGGCAGATATGGACAAAATACCTGTTCACAGATTTTTCCAGATGAACAAATTTTAATTGACATGAATTATCTGGACGTGTTAATTTTATATCCAAATGTCTTAGACGGGAATACGTGAAACACCTGCTTCAGTTCCCACTCACCAGCACGACTCGAGATCCGGCTTGCTTCAGGGCGTCCACGGCTTCAGCGTGGGTGCAGTTGGAGACGTCAACATCGCTCACTTTCACAATGATGTCGTTGATCCTGAAACAAAACAAAACTCGGTGAACATGGCTGGCATACAAACATCTAAATTTATAACCATGTCTCTTGTTCGTGAATTGGAAAGCCATAAAGTCTATCGTGTTGTACAATCAACATCTAATGATTTGTGGTGGAGGACATATTTTATCAGGATATTTGGAAAGGTTATATTTTTCAAGCTTTGTAACATATATTTGAAGTATTCTGGAACAGATTTGTTACATAACTAGTTTCCTCCAAAACATCCCTGCAGGCAAATACAACTTAAATGGTTGATACTTTGCCAGCATAAAGATAACCCATCACCAAGAAAATCTATATCAAGAAGTTTGGAGGCAGCTTGGGAGATGATGTGTGTGAAGCAAAGGAGAAGAGAAACAGAAATCATGAGATTGTGGACTTGTGGATAGCTCCAATAGTACAGGGCCTACTTGACAAAGCAATCTTTGCACTAAAACAACCTGAATTCAAGGTTAAAGTATGCAGGGCTCGATTTAAGAGATGTTAACCTACTTGCACTAGGAGCAACCTAAGATAAAAATTTAGTTGCACCAGCTAAATTCCAGTTGCACTGCTTTTATTGCAATATGTAATGTAAGACATATACTATTGAATTATTTAGATGTTTTATTCAGAGTTTACCCACTCAAAAATCGAGTTGCACCTGGTGCAAGTTAGACTAATATCTAGGCTTTGTGCATGTTGGCCCTGGGATCTTAATCCTACTTTTCATATCATGGCCATGACAAGGACCCCTTAGCTTTGAAGCTTATATTCAAAGAGTGTAAAATCAACATCAGGACTCTTGTAAATGATTCAAACACCAGATGAAGTATTGCTTCAGCAGTGAATGCAAGAGAATAATATCTTTGTTCCAATGAGAATTATTTCATTGGGGAAAAAGGCAAAATTGAGGTGCATGGGTATCTTAAAATCAGACATGACACCAGGTGTTGCCAAACAGAGCCTGCCTGATCTGCCCTAGTGGTAGTAAACTTCAGTAATCATGAACTCAACAACACAACTAATTTTAATATTACTGTAGTATGTTTTATGCATTTCGATAATGTTCCAGATAATGTTTCAACATCAGGAGTATGTATTCCTTTTTTTTTCAACATAGGAGTACTGGAAAACCTTAAGAGTACATTTAGAGTACTGAATGGAAATTAATAGAGTATCAATAATCTTGTGTTTCGTTTCATATATGCACCACAACATTGCTACTCTTGTGTAAACAGGTCAATAAACAATAATACAATACTTTTTCAGATAAAGACATCTGTAAATGATTTTAAGACCATACACCATTGCTGTTGAGCAAATCTGCTACGTTTTCTAAATTATTTCCTATCGTATCATGCATATTTTTTATCTGTACATACGCCAATACGGCCCTTATCTGGAGCCTTGGTTATAGTGAACTCAAAGAGACAACTAATTTTAGTTCATTTTTACTCTAGTTTGTTTTATGCATTTTGACTAAAACATACATCAAGTGGATTGGACAAACAACAAAAACCCAATTTGTTATATTTGTGAGTTGGTGATAAGCATGTTCAGTGTAAATGTTGTTCACTGTATGTGTTCGTTGCCTGGTGTGGTGCAGCAGTACTCCCGCCATACAACTGCAGCGTGAAAACAAACCAGACAATCAAGTGATGGACAGGAGACCCAGTTACAAGTTTACACATTTAGCAATTTTGTTGAAACTACTGTTAAAATTTTAAACTTTGTATTCTGAGTTAAAACGCAGAGAATCTATTAAATATAGATATTGACAAAAATATAAATATGTAAGTGAGTGAGTTTAGTTTTATGCCTCTTTCTACAATGTTCCAGCAAAATCACAGTGGGGGACACCAGAAAGGGGCTTCACACATTGTACCCATGTGGGGAATCGAACCCTTTCTTCGGTGTGAAGAGCGAATACTTTAACCCATGGGCTACCCCACCGTCCTTAAATGTTTAAGAAATGTTTTCGTAACAGCTGGAGGCTGTTTTATGTCCCTACTCAGATTGGAAAGCTTATTCAGTTTACACTAAGACCACTATCAAATAGAGTTCTTACAATGGGGTAGCCTTGTAGTTCAAGATTTTGCTTGTCACGGCAAAGACCTGGGTTTGATTCCCCACGTCCACAATCTGTGAAACCCATTTCGGGTTTCTCCTGCCATGATATTGCTGGAATATTGCTAAAAGTTGCATAAAACCATACTCACAAGTGTGAATGTAAGCACGTACATCAAGGATATAATAAGATTCTTTGTCTGAATAAAACAATGAACAAAAAGTTAACCACATGTCCTTACTAACTTCATCATTCATATCACTCCACATTTTGTTCATACAACACATTTGATTTCAAAATAAATTAAAAACAACACATATTTTCATCACCCAAGTTGCGGGGTGGTGGGGTAGCCTAAAGGTTAAAGCATCTGCTCGTCATGCTGAAGACCCGGGTTTGATTCCCAGCATTTGATTCACAATGTGTGAAGCCCAAGCCTAGTGTCCCCTGTCATGCTACTGCAAGAATATTGCTAAAAGCGGCATAAAACCATACTCACTCACTCACCCAAGTTGCACTTATATCCTACATTCATTTCCTTCTAAACCAACACTGTATTCATGTTGTAAAACCTTGAGTTCATATCACACATTTATTTCCATACTCACAATACTAATTAAGCCTCGTTTGCTTCTAAACACTCAGTGCAGATTTGATACCATCTGAGTCACTGCTACAGTGCATTAAGCACTGTAGTTACAACTATATTTGTTCCATTCAATCTTTAGTTTCAACAAAGTCATGAAAATCTGACAAAACTAATATCCAATGATGCTGACATTCATGGAAACAGTGCCAAAATCACCAACCATTTTCAACAGCTTTCCTACTTCTTTAGAAAGCCCACACTTGTTTGAACATCAATAATCACAAAGTGACGCAAATTCCATGATATTTGTATTGGTGGGGAAGTGCTCAAGAAAACAAATGAATTCCCTATTCGCCAAAGTTCCGACTTTTTCAATAATTTCTACCAATCAATCTTGTTTATAACCAGCCTGTTATGATAATTTGATACTCCTAAAAGCTTGGGTTGACACCTACCATCGTTACTTGTGAAATTAACATTTTTCCATATAGAGCTGAAGGCATTACTGTTCATTAAGAGATAGCATTAGCACATAATCTTGACAAATAACACATGTTCCATGAATATAAATGGATGGCAATTACGTTTTTCTCCATCCCAAAATCCAGAATCATATTGTATTTTGTAACCAACCTCTTTCCTTGAAAGTAGGCTGAGATAGTAAATCAAGCTCCTAACACAGACATGCACACATATAGTGCTGTGGAGTATTACCAATTCAACTTATTGCATGCATCCACTACAGTTATGCAACAGCCACACTGATGAATTATTCACGTCCATGCAGTAATAGATGTCTATATCATCCAAGATGAGTCAGTATACAACATATTTACACCACTATTAAGCTATTGCCGGGATAAATTAGGTCAAAACGCTGAGCTTGAACTTCAAAATTTTCTTCATGAATGGTTACTCCAAGTGAATCTTAAAAATGAAAAAATTCTCTCAGTGAAGTTACTAAGATAAGATTAACGAAAAAAAAAGTGCATTCAAAAGGTGCATGGTGTTTGTTAGATATTTTACCATTTTTAAAAAAAAAAAAGTTTTGAAAGATTTTGGGAAACAGTTCTGGACACATTGGCAGCATCTGTTGAAACTCTTCAAAGATCACAGATGTCACTGTCAACTAAACATATGTATGTACTCAGGTGTCAAAATGGAGAAATGCACAGACTGACATGCTTTGGCATTGTTGAAACAAAGAACAATGCAAAGTGCTGTATGTAATATATATATATATATATATTTCTCAGTTCAGTTTGTAGAAAAAGTAGATGTCCCAACCTCCCTACCACTAATTAAGGTTGCCAAATAAAGAATATATCCAATATATCTCCCAATCACAAAGAAATGTTTACAAAGAATAAATCCAATATATCTCCTCATGAAGGATTACTGTTCACAAACATACCATATATCCAATGTCTCCACACCATGTAATATCTATATCTTCTCCATGTTAATAAACCTTCATAAACAAAGAATAAATCCAAGATATCTCCTCATGAAGGATTACTGTTCACAAACATACAATATATCCAAAGTGTCCACACCATGTAATATCTATATCTTCCCCATGTTAATAAACCTTCATAAACAAAGAATAAATCCAACATATCTCCTCATGAAGGATTACTGTTCACAAACATACCATATATCCAATGTCTCCACACCATGTAATATCTATATCTTCCCCATGTTAATAAACCTTCATAAACAAAGAATAAATCCAATGTATCTCCTCATGAAGGATTACTGTTCACAAACATACCATATATCCAATGTCTCCACACCATGTAATATCTATATCTTCCCCATGTTAATAAACCTTCATAAACAAAGAATAAATCCAACATATCTCCTCATGAAGGATTACTGTTCACAAACATACCATATATTCAATGTCTCCACACCATGTAATATCTATATCTTCCCCATGTTAATAAACCTTCATAAACAAAGAATAAATCCAACATATCTCCTCATGAAGGATTACTGTTCACAAACATACCATATATCCAATGTCTCCACACCATGTAATATCTATATCTTCCCCATGTTAATAAACCTTCATAAACAAAGAATAAATCCAATGTATCTCTTCATGAAAGGATTACTGTTCACAAACATACCATATATTCAATGTCTCCACACCATGTAATATCTATATCTTCTCCATGTTAATAAACCTTCATAAACAAAGAATAAATCCAATGTATCTCCTCATGAAGGATTACTGTTCACAAACATACCATATATTCAATGTCTCCACACCATGTAATATCTATATCTTCTCCATGTTAATAAACCTTCATAAACAAAGAATAAATCTAAGAT